CAATCAGTTATGCTAGATTAGTGTTACATAAAATTATTTATCTTTATATTATAATGCGCCTTTATGATAATGTTTATCTTATCATTAAATAAAATATCAAACTAAGGTTTGATTTAATTTTTGTAAAAATACTATAAGTATAATCATTAGACAAATCATTCAAAAATTACATTTTTAAATAAAAAAATTTACAATTATTAAATGATCACAGCTAAGGCAGTATTTACTATGAATTTTTTGTAAAACCCTGATTTTTGTTCACAGTTATGTTTGATGGTGAAACAATAGAAGGAGCTCCACCACTATGGTGTGCGGCCGCTGCTGGACACCTGAACATAGTAAAATTGTTGATCCGAGAAAATGCCATAGTGAACTCTACAACCAAAACGAATTCAACGCCGTTACGCGCTGCATGTTTCGACGGACACTATGAAATCGTCAAATATCTAGTCGAACATGGTGCAGGTGTGTTTGTCGTTCGTTTGTATACATTATTATTTCTACTTTATCGGCCTCCCTTAAAAATGTCCCGTTCACAATCCCCGCCCTAATCGGGGGTTCAGAATTTCAGATAGATCTTCACGAGATAGTAAACTCAAATATACGGATGCCACAATAAATCATTGTATTATAATAGAACACATAAATAAATAATTATTTAAATAATTTATAATTAACACGATTTTTAGAAATATTTAACCTAACCTTAACAAATAATTTATTACCATCTGTAAACGGTTAATTCTCAACGACTATGATTAACAACTACAACATGTTACTTTACATTAAACTTTTTCTAATTCCAGTAACATTTAACTTTTGAGCAATCTTTTATTATATTTTCAAGCTTTAAGTATTAAAATAAACATTCATCAGTAGGATCTAGATAAGACAAAACTAGAAATCCAAATTTGTTTTCAAATTCTATATCGCGTAATTAAATTGATCTTTCTTTTTTTAGCATGAAAAACGGTCCCTCTTGAATACCTCCAAGTTTTTTTTTTTAGTACACATTCTGCTAGAGTGGCAAATGTCCTATTTTTCGGGTAGCAATTAACCGAATACCGTTGGGTGGTTATTTACTAATGACTAGACGTATTTATAAGTGCGTCATATACTCCGGGAAATGAGAGTCGAAATGTGGTGCAATCGTACTCGAGCCAGAAACCTTGGTAGTCATTAATGGAAATTATTCCCACTTCGATTTTTATTCAAGTAAACTTTTTTTTTTAATCGTTTTTAGGTGTTATGGTTTAAATTATACACTTAATTGAATTAGTAAAAAATAAAAACAAATTCAAAATTTTTACCAGCTCTAATGCGTATGTATCTATAATGGCGAGTGGTCGTATGCTTTTTACAAAGAAAAAAGTAATTATGAAATTTCTCGTGTACGTGCGACACTCATCATACTCCTGTTTAATCGTTACCGTGAAGGTGAAATTTATTAATTACGGGAACGACAAATTATTGTTTTTCTTCGTCATCTAATTACCATTTTTTTCGGCGGCACCCATTCAATAGTAGATAATCGCTCAAGTGTTGAGAGAAAAGCGTATTCTATTACCTGGACAAATTATTTCTAAATAGTAACTAATAGTGATGTTTTGCCACTATTAAAACGTTTTATGATGTATGTTATTACTTGTTAAATTTATGTGTTTCACGAAAATTATAGATGGTTACATTTTTCTCTTGACAAAGGTATTTTCACCGTTTTCGACCGAGATCTTATTTTTTCTTTTACACAGATATCGAAGTATCCAACCGTCACGGTCATACGTGCTTGATGATTGCTTGCTACAAAGGCCACTACAAAATCGCCAACTTCCTGTTATCCCTAAAAGCTGATATCAACAAAAAGAGCGTCAAAGGCAACACTGCGTTGCATGATTGTGCCGAGTCAGGTAGCCTAGACATATTCAAAATGCTTATACTCAACGGAGCTAAAATGGAAGTGGACTCTTATGGTTAGTGTTGCTTGATTTTATTATTATGTTTTAAACACTTGTTGAAATATTATTAAAACAGTAGAAATAGTAATACTCTAATTAAGTAAGCGATAAGAGTCAAAAAAAAAAAAAAAATCAGCCGTTATCCGATAAAAGTAATAATTCTTATTTGTGTTTCCTATTGTAATCTATAGGGATGACACCACTGTTGGCCGCGTGCGTCACCGGTCACGCCGATATCGTCGACTACCTAGTTAAAAGTAACAACTTGGTATCGCGCAAAGAGAAAATCGAAGCCTTGGAACTGCTTGGCGCCACATACATTGACAAGAGGAGAGACTTAATCGGTGGTTTCGACCTATGGAAACAGGCCATGGATCTGAGGTTCAACGTGGACGACGAACAAGACATACCAAAACCAGACAACGCACTGCCGATTGAAGCATATGAATGGGCTCAAGAAGTAAAAAACCACGAGGAACTTAATGAACTTTTGTCTGAACCTGACGAGATGAGGATGCAGGTTAGTCGTTTTTGTTTAATCCACCGGTCACTACTCTCATTGGTCTAGGCCCTAGGGTTTTTTAAATGTTTGTCTTCAATTAAATTTAAATATATTTAAATATTTTTATTTTTTCAGGCCTTGTTAGTGAGAGAACGAATCCTCGGTCCTACGCATCCAGATACCAGTTACTATGTGCGCTATCGAGGCGCTGTGTACGCTGATGCCGGCAAATTTACTCGTTGCATATCTCTGTGGAACCATGCCTTGGACATCCAAAGAAGTTCTCTCGAGTCTTGCCACCAAATGACTGTCTCTTCATTCTTCTCCTTTGCTGAACTCTTCTCTTTCATGTCTGATGCATGCGCTACCAACGAAAACAACGGATACAGACAAGTGCCAGCGCTATTGACTTTTGAGGACATCATTCAAGTCCTGATCAAAGCTGTTAACGAATTATGTGAACCAAAAGTGCTGCCATCATCATTAGATTTATCCCCTAGATTATTGCTCATTTCATTGGATCTCTTTAATATGGCTCTCAAGTATGCTTATGTTTTTTTATATATATATATATTAAAGTACATTAAATTTGCTTGCACACAACATAATTTATTTTAATTCTTTCATATGATTTATATTTAGATTGATCAGGAATGATGAACATTCTCACCTGACTCATCGCCTGCTATATCGTTTGAACAAGTGCAATGTTGTCGGACATCTTGGTCAGACTCCTCTTCATTTGGCAAGCGCTCGTAAAACTGCTCTGGCAACATCTCGTCATTCTCAATCCATCAATTCTGAAGATGCGTCTATGTTGCTGAGAGCATTGCTCAAAATTGGTGCCGACCCCAATGCCCGTGATAATGAGGGTAATACACCACTTCATTTAGTCTCCCCCAAAGATATGACTACCATCAAATTGCTTTTGGGCGGTGGAGCACATTACGATTCTGTAAACATGGCTGGTCGCACTTTTTGTGACATGCGCAAAGCCACTCCACATAATCCGCTGTGCCACACGTCTTTGGCTTGCCATGCTGCTCGCACCATACGCAAAAACCGTATACCATTCGTTGGACATATACCAGTCACGTTGTACGAATTTGTGGAAAAACACTAGTAAAATAGACATTAGAAGACATACATGTATAATGATGGTTTGATGTTTCTGTAATTTATTGTATGCACGTAAAAAGAAAAAAAAATAATTATTATTTTATCTATATATCGTTGAAAGTTATAGTACAGACTACTACTATATAATCATTAATCAATAAGAATAAACTTTTCATCAACTGGAAACTATTGGGTTTCCATGTGTGCAGTTGTGTGTATACCCTTCTAATTTTTTTCTCTGTGTTACAATTTACTTTTATTATATAATATTATAAAGTAAACAAGCATTTACCTGCCTTGCTGGCTGTCAAATACCAAAATAACAATATAACATTTTTCTGTACAAGATATTATATTTTCTTCTTTATTTTATATAGAGAGAATAGACGTTTTAATGCTATTTTTATTTATGTACATTATAGTGTCTATAAACTTTGTTTACATAGATGAAGTTTAATAATTCTATTTTATAATAAACGTATTTAAAAAAAAAAATTACCTGTGTGTTTTATTTAATAGTATTTTATAAAAATAAATAAAAACTCTTACTTTTTAGGTACAGGTGACATATAATAAATAATTAATTCCTTGCACAACAAATTGTGAATATTTTTCTTATAAAAAATTACTTAATTTGAAGAGTGAACTCTTCAGTTATAACTAGTGGATTTAATTACAATGAATTATAATTTTATTGAAAAAAAAAAATGTTTTGAAAATTGAATTGAAATAAAATTGTTATTTAAAAAATTTGTAATTAATAATTATCTATCACATTCTGGAGGTAAAATGAAAAAATTGAATAATAAACATTGTTTTCATAACATTCAAATTTAATACATTTTACTTATGTCCCTTAAAAAACAGTTCCCAAAGTTTTTAGTTTAGTTTGATTTTTTTAACTCTGAAGCTAAAAATTTTTCACGGTACTCTACTGTGAGTACTTAAAGGAATGTGAATATAAAATGAATACGAAATACTATAAATAGTTGGACGAAAAATCTGAACATAACTTTGTTGATGAATGGCTTATCATATAAAATTGCTATTACTATTATTAATAATTAATAGACAAATAGTTATTATAAAATTCTAATTTAATTTAACAAAAATAATGACAATAAATTGTTAATATATTTTTATTTTTATATGAATTGGGCAATGGTGCACAGTTTAGAAACCATTGCCTCAATTTAATTAAAACAATTCCATTTTAAGCAATATATAAAAAATATTTTAATAATTCATTAAAAATAGTAAATATACAAGAATAATAAACAAAATAATTTTATTAATTCAATCACATTACTTCAACGTTGAACTCATTTAAGATTATAAAATTAACTAAGAACCAAGACATTAATTATGTTCAATAAAGAATAATTATCTAATTATATGTCTTATTGTATATAAAGGCATTGTCTTGTTCATTGAATATTTAAAAATCAAATTATGAGATAAATATTATTAAAAAATTCTTAATTATAAATTATACATGGAAGTCTTGTGTTATAACTGGTACAAAAACTAAATCTAACAGTTCTATATTTATTTAAAAATAAAATAATAAACTAAATTAATTACTATCTGAAGTTGACTCATATGAATTTACATTAAAACTTTTTTTGAAAACTTCTGACATACGTTTCATTGCATCCAGTTTTGTAGTTGTAAACCCATCTATACTGTCATCGTCGTCATCATCATCATCATCATCATCATCACTACTTTGAATCATAATTATATTTTCTTGTGCAAACAAATCATCATGAGCTTCATTTAAGTCCAGATCTGAGTTGATGGTCAATGGTACTTGAGTCTGCTTTTTATCCATTTCAGTGGCATCAGCTTCTTTTTTATTGTTTTTTCTTGTACAAGTTTCTTTTTTCCTTAAGATTGGATCAAATTTATTCTTAATCTTTTTCAAATATTTTGAACTGTTTTTATCATCCAAATTTTTTAAATATTTAATAACACGTGTCAATTTTAGACCAATTTTGTTTACTAATTCATTATTATCAAAATCAATTTCTAACTTATATAAAGTATCTACTAACATGGCTGTATAGGGCTGATTTTCGTCTAATAAATAATCAAGTATGGAACATGTCAGTTCACCATGAGCATTAATAGCCTTTTTTTGATTCCTGTACATGTGTCCTCGAGCTAGATTAATTAAAGTTGTGTTAACTTCATCCATTTTAATATCCAATTTTTCAGCTAAATTGTGATCATCAATCTCTTTTAACATTGGAACATAGCACATGGCCATTGCAATACTACTTGAATCAATATAAAACACATAAGATGTAAAGAATTTTGCCAAATGATTGTATGTAATGAATGCATCACGTGTTACACGTTTAAACCATAATATCAAAAGTTTAGACAATAAAATGACAGACTTGACTTTTTTAAATATCAATAAGTCACAAAAACCTTTTACAACAACTGACTTAAAGCTACTATCATCTAGTTCATAATCAATACAGTTAACTAGTAATTTTAAAACACTAGCAACGCTAAAGTCTTCTCCATGTTCTTCACCTGTATCCAAGTCATCATTTACACCAAATGTTCCAAGATCATAACGCAAGAACAATTCAAACATTACTTTGAATATCAAATGTCTATCAGTCAAAGGACTTGCTATTTCAGCGCATAAAGTAATTATATGTTCTTTGGCTGCTTGAACATTATTTACCAACAAATATGGTGAAAGAGAACGAATTGCTTCCATTCGTATTTTTACCATAGAACAATTTAAGTATTCAACAACAATGTTCTGAATAATATCTGTTAATAGGGAAAGTTCAGTGCCAACTTTTGGTAATTGTTGAACTTGAAAAATCAGTTCACAAACCTTAAGAATATTTTTCACAGCCATATCTACTAATATCTCTTCTTCTGGCAACACATTAATTTTTTTATACTGTTTTTTTATTTTCTTAACTTTAAATAATAACATATTTAATTCATCTTTATTTGAATGTTTATCAAATTCTAACTCTTGAATTTTAATAGTTTTTGATTCTATTTCATGTATACACACTTCTTTTTGGCCCACTTGATCAATTAAAGGGTATACATCCATTATTCTTGTTTGAATTTTATTTAAGATTTCTTTAACATAATTTAAAAGATCTTGACCACTTTTAAAAGTCAAACCGAATAATACTGCTATAGATTTTATTGGTCTTACAGATAACTGGTCATCTAATATTAAATCTAAGCAAAGTTTATTTAGACTTTCAGCCCCGACATCGTCTATAGCAAATGTACTACTCATATCCAACAACTGTGTCAGTATAAATTCTTTACTATTTGTAGAATTAAAATAATATTCACGTATATAATCAGAAAATTTTACCAAATCTGGTAATAAAACATCTATGTAATAATCATCAATATGTCCTTGGTTACGAGCTAATTCAATTTTTTTCTCAGTAGTTAAGTATTTTGCTACACACTTCCAAAGAAAAATTTTTTCAACAGTTAATTTATCAAAAGTAATCATTCGTGTATCTGAATTTAAATATTTGTTAATTAAATCCAGAACTTGACTATCATAATAGGTCTCAAATATTATATTCAAAGCTTTTTCACATACAACTTCATTTTCAACTCCCAAATTGTTCAAAAACACTATAAAATCATTATTACATTCATCAAGCCATTTTTCCAAAAATCGTTTTTTTACTAATGATCTAATAGATTCATTTTTATCTTCAAAACCATTTTCCAATAATGTTTGTCTTTGCTTTGATGATAACCTTGAAAATGGATATCCTAAAAAACGGTTGTAAGCTTCTTTTCTGACATTATCACTAACATCAAAAATTGTATTCTTCATCATTTCTTCAACAACATTGCTAAACATTGCAATTCCTTTAACAATAGCTATCCTAACTTCAATGCTAGAATCGCAAGTCATATGAAACATGAATTTTTTAACAATTGGACATTTAGAATCGTCTGATGTTTGCAACAAATGTAGAGCATATGCAGCTTGTGCTCGAACTTCTGGTTTCTTGTCTTGCAAGCGTTCAAACAACAACATTGTTGCAACATCACACAGTTCCATAGATAATATTGTTCCTTCTGACATGTGATTCAATAAGTGGTTAAGAAATAGACAAAATCTCCATCTGATAACTTTATCATTAGCATTTCCATACTTACGGCATAATTGAAAAATCTCGGATATCAAATACAAGCCACTACGACCGTCCTTGGTAGAGTATTCAGACAACATAGATACACCATTAGCAGCAAACTTGATCATGTTATTGATAGTTACACAATTTATGGTTGTTTGTGAAATCATAACAGACATAGTTGAATCAATGAACAATTTAGAAAATTCCTTCCAATTCATTTCAAGAAATTTTTCTTTAAGCATTTTTAGCAAATTTGGTTGTGGACCGACCTCGCCAGACTTCTCGAACAATTTGACAAAAGATTTCTTTAGGGCCATTTTTTGATTTTCAAAATATAATGCTATGCACGTACTGACCTATTCAATAGAATATGAACACTACGTTATTATACTGAATAAAATATTTACAAATATTGTTTTACAAAATACATAGTCAGAACTAGAAATATTCTACACAATACTCACATTTATATATATTAAGGTGTTCACTTAATTAGAAAATTACATATCCGATATATTATATTGTTATGAAAAATATAAAATACATCGTTCAACCAACTTCAACAGGCAACAGTGAACAAAAAATAGTAAATTCAAAATTATCACATAGATAACTGCCAAGAAACAAAACCACAATCACGGTATGTACAATCGTAACCACAATAATTATCATCAATCTTATTATATTATAATTCTATTCAAATTCTACAATCATCATCAACTGTAAAATAAATATCAGTAAATATCACGAGAATACGACGAAATAATAATAATTATTATTATTATTTATACGATTTAGACTCATAAAACAACATAGTATAATATCTAATAGAAATAAACACACTAACAAATATTTTTTTTAATTAAATAGTATATTATTATGATCTAATGCCGCGGGTAACTGAGGTAACTGATCCCGTCCCGATATTGATTACATATTTTTCTATTCCATAACATTAATGTTATTGATAACATTTTTTGTACCGTACTACCGTCTGATTTTTGATAGTAAGTAATAATAAGTTAAAAATTAAATAATAATAATTAAATATTTTGAAGTATAACATAATATAAATGACTGTTACAGTTTTATTGTATTCTATTATCTATAGTCGACTATAGAGTTTGGCAGTCACCAAGCTTTCCGACTTCAGATAAATTACTAACTTTCTACTGCCAATAATAATTACTGTCGTATAAGTTATTTCACTCACAAATTCCGGTGATCAGTGATTATTTCTCAACATTTCAAGTACAAACGTGTTTTGGTGCTCAAGTCGTAAGTTATATTATTCTGCTCTAACATTATTTTGTATTATTTCTGTTTTCGAACTGTTCAGTTTTGATAGTTATCTTTTTTTACCTATTTATTCAATTATAAATTATTCGGTATACAGTTTTTTTTCTAATGCACTCAGTACCATATTCGAATTTTATCTTTGAAGAACATAAAATATACGATTATAGTCTATATATTAATCTAATTTTTCTGTTGTTATTATTAAAGCATGATAGATAAATATACTTAAATTATAAAAAAAAAATGTTAAGACAGCCATTTCTTCCAAAATATGAAATCTTATGCCTATAGAAATTGTATAATTAAACATTATTTATTTTTATTTTTTTTAAAGAAAAATTTATACGTAGTCTTCTCAAAAAAAATATGGTTTTAATAGTATTATTCTTACAAACAGTTAACAATCATTTAACCAGTTATCTGTGTCAATGTTTATATTATAATTAACTAATTTGATTAAGGAGTTACAATTACTATTAAGTATTATAGAGCTTATTATTTATTGTGAATTAATATGTTTTTTATTTTTAGGTAAATAATAATGGAAACATTAATTTTGGAAGATTTAAGAAATTTAGGAAAATCCATTTCTGCTAAAGAATTTAAAAAATTAATTACTGGTGGACCAAAATCTATTAAGTATACTCAGTTAGTTGAGTGGATAACCAAGGAAATTCAGATACTATTAGGACTAGAAGAACATGTAAATTCTATAAGCACTGAAGCAGATTCTAGTTCATTTTTATTGGAAGTTAGTAGTTTCTTAAAAGAATCTGGTTGTTCTTATAACAATCTTGTTGCAGGTAACTTTGAAGATCGTTTAAATTCAGATGAAAACAAATTACTTTTATTAGATTATTTAATTGGTGAATTAAGAGCATCTCGAATATTAAATGCTAGCACCACTAATACCAAACGTAATATGCAAGTAACATTAATTGAAAGCAATACATCTAAATATGTTAAAGAGATCTTAATGACTTTAAAATTACCTAAGCCACCTCAAGATATTAGCACTACTTCTTTATTCGAAAAAGTTAATAAAAAATTGCAAGAACTTCTAATATCTGTTCCACCTGCATTAATTGGAAAGTCATTAGTTTCTAATTCATATAGTAGTGAACAATGGAAATACATTAATAATAGTATAGAACTTCTTAATGAAGAATTTAACGTACGAAGTAAAATGTCATTAACAAGACTTGACGTAACAGTACAATCATTTAAATGGCCCGACAGACTAAAAAATAAGAAACAAAAATTGGATGAAATTTACCAAACTAAATTAAATATAATTAACAAATTACCTAATTTTTGTATATCTGATTTTCTATCGGCTAGAAATGATTTGGCAATTGTTGAAAAAACTTCTAGTACATTAGTTGTTCAAAATACAAATTCATCAGTTAACAAAGTTATGATTGGTCAGGTGCCTGATAGAGGTGGAAGACCAAACGAGCAACAAGCACCGCCTCCTGAAATGCCTAGTTGGCAGCAAAGAACACAATCACAAGGTGGTAGAGGTAGTCAATCAAATAGAGGTGTACAGTTCAACAATAGAGGAGGTCGAGGTGGAAGTTCACAAACTAGAGATAATCAACCATATAGAAACTCAAACACCGGTGGTTTTCAAGGCGGATCTAATGTTTACCAGATGACTGATGGATTTCAATCAATCAGTGTTGGTAATGAAAGCAGAAATTTTCATCAAAACAATAGACGAGGACGAGTGCAAGGTGGCTGGAACAATAATCAGTCCAGGGATTACCATAGCGGAAATTTTCATGAAGGGCAAAATAGGACGTATGATAATTATAGTCAAGGAACCCATCAAAATATGGGATATGATAATAATAGATTTCAAGGTACTTCAAATGAAAGACAGTGGAGTCAAGAACCTCATTATGGAAATAGTCAAGATCAGTATGATGGCAATAATAGACAATATAATGACACAAATAAACGTGGTTATTCCAAACGAGGTAGAGGTCATAATGGACAAACATATTACAATCAACAAAGAAATTATTAAACTGATTGATTAAAATTTATTACTAAGTAATTAATATGATTGTAAACTTACCCCTTTGTTTTTAATAAAATTAAACTATTAATTCTAAGTAGGTTTATGATTTTGTATATTCATACAATTAAAAAATATATTTTCTTTGATTTTTTCTTAATATATTTACTATTTAGTATAACTAATTACTACAACTTGTATAGTAAATAAATAATTGTGTATTTCTAAGGTATCAAGTATGTTTATTATAATATTTAAAAATCAAACCTCATGTTGATATTTAAAGATAAACTTAATAGTATAAAAAATAATTTTAATTCATATATGATGCATATTGTAAAATTTAAACATACTATGAATAAAAATGTATTTATCAAGAACTAAAATAGCAGCCTATACTTTTTCCTTTGATTATTTTTTTATTTTATATTGTTTAGTTAATTATTTGACAAAAAAATTAATGGAAGCTCAAGAATCTTGACATTAAGATTTATTAATTTTTATGAAATATTGTTGGTATTATATTTCTAGACTAGTGTTTCTCAGCCTTTGTACTATGTATTACAATACATAATTAAAACATTTCGTACTTTTATGACACACATTAAAAATATAAGAATAATGAGTGATATTTTATTTGAATTGGTAATATAAAATGTGTAAAATATGTCAATAACAGATAACTTATTTTTAATCAACAAAGAAATTTTATCAATGACCTAATACATTTTTACAATTAATGTCAAAAATGTTTGTATATTCTGTGCCATTTAATCTACTCGTATTTTGTGATTGTGACACATATGAACTTATTCAGCAATACATTGATTGAAAAAAACTGTTCTAGACTACAATATTAAATATATAGATACAATAAATAGAAAATAATAATAATAATTTTAGCTATTATGGATTATAAATGTAAAGAAAAAGGTTATTGAATACTGGTAATTTTTGATATCGATGTTCAAAAAGGCAACAATTGTAACAGCATTAACTTAATTATATTTTTAAAAAAAAGTAACAAGATTTTTTTAAATTTAAATTGAAAAATTAAAGAATCAATTAAAATATTTAAATAATATAAAATTTATATTCATTCTCAAATTTTAAATCTATTTTATATACTTAGTTTCATTGTTTTTTAAAACATTCACGCCCTAAATAAATAAACTTTTGGTTATTGATGTAAATTTTCGATTAAAGATAACATGAGTCCTTTGTTTAAACACAAAACAATAAAATATTAATATTTAAATAACTATGGAGTTAGATTGTCAGATAGAAGTTTTAGTCTACAACTACTATAAAAAATAGATGTACATTGTACCCATAATATAAAAAGAAAGAATAAATAAATCAACTATAAGGGGAAAATAATTACAATAAGGATTCAAAAAATAAAAAAATATGTTACATGACTTATAATAAATTTTAGCAGAAAACAAAAAATTAAATTACGAGCTTATTATTATTTATTGCATTATTATATATATATTCTATGACGTTTATTTACACTTGACCATCTTTGAATATATTTAATTTAATCATATAGGTAAGTAGTATAGTTAATAAAATAAATACTTAATCAATGATAGGTAAAAACATATTATGGTAATTAAATCACTTAGATTTCCCAAGAATTAAATTATTTGTTTTTAAATTGATTTCTTATTAATTAAATGGATTTATAACTATGCAGTTGTTTCTTCTGCTTCTATGGTACCTGGATAAAATAATGCAACAATTAGCTATTATTAAACACATTACTATAATCCTTGCCAAATTAAAAAAAAAAAAAACTAAAAATATGTCTGATATAGAATAATTTTTGATATCAGCAGAAGAAGTACATTCTTCTGTAAAAAATAGTAATAATACTATAATATATAATGCTTCAAAAGCCTTATTAAAATGAATTTATAATAATTTACCAGCTACATTGCTTGAAGCTTCAATTTCAAAAATATCTGATTCTTGCATGATATCTCCATCAACAACAACTACAACTAATTCATATAATTTTCCTGGTCTCAAACCTTTTACATCTATAAAATTCTTATCAAATTCATGTTTAGTTTCTTCGTACAAATGATCAGATTTAAGCCTATAAAATAATTTATTAATTAACATTATTTTTGTACTTTTTATCTTTTTTCAAATTTTTTTATACTTATATACATAAATAAGTATTATGAACACCCATTATTTCGAAAAATATTAATTGTATTAACATTACTTTGGAAAATATAAGATAGGAATATCTAGTAAACGTAATTAATAATTTAAACATTTTAAACTATTCATTTTTCACTCTTTTTGTTTATATAAGAAAGATGAAATCATTATCAAACATCAATATACAATTAATTTAATAATCTAGTGCAGAGTATTTTAAATACAAATGTTTATGTATATTATACATCTAATACTAAAATAATAGTTGTTTTTTTCTAAAAATATTCATTACATCCATTAAATACTCTATAGTTCCATATAAACATTTAAAAAAAGTATTTTGTCCTAGATAATATGATATTAAAATGTTAAAATTATATAATTAATAAATTACTATTTGCTTGACTTCATTAATAAATATAAAGCAAAATAAGTAAGGTTTTAAAATTAAACATTTTTATATTTTCCAAAAAAAATGTTCCTGAATTCCTTATTTCACATTTACTACTGATAAAACTACCTTGAATATAGATGTCAGCTATAAATTTATAATTTTACTTGTATTTCACAAAGAAGTGAGATCCAGGGTTTCCATCAAGGTTTGGTGTCCACAAAATACGAACTGTATCAAACATTTTATTATATGTTTTATGGACATAATTGAACACTGGCTTATCTAGTTCAGTATCTATTGGTAAAGGAGGTTTGGTTTGCTGTTCAATAAAAAATCTATTGAGAGAAAAAAGTAATATAAGTATTTCAAATATAATATAAAATACCTACATAAATTATTTACGTACGGTTCACCAACACCAACTTTTGTAGTTGCTTTAATGTAAATTCGATAATTAGTTGATGGTTTTAATGAAGTCAATTTAGCAGTAGTCTGCTTAGGATTAGTAATAGATGGACGTTGTGCCCTTTCTCCAACCCCTTGTGGAGTCATTGATTCATAAGAAATCTCATAGCCTGTTAATACTCCATTTGTTTCATCTGGTGGTTGCCAACTTAACAAAATTGCAGAAGAACCCCATTGTTTAGCTTCTACTCCATTTACTGGCTCAGGGACTTAAACATACAATTTTGTCCTATTTAGTAATTTATATACATAATAAAATGATTTATAACTCCATCTTGATATATATATAAATATATACAAATTATTACATACATGTCAAATTATGAATCTTAAAAAAATAATACTACATAACATTAAATTAATGAATTAAATTAAATAAAGTAATAAATATTACAAAATTCATTAAGTACCTCCTTCAGGTGTATTAAAAGATATTGGTGGACTATGTTGTCCATTAAAACGACTATTGTATGCAAAAATAGATACAAAATTTTTAGCATTTGGAAAAAATTTTTTAATTTCCACTGATGTTTTGTCTAAACTAACTTCTTCTTCAATCTTATTATCTTCTCCATCTCTTTCAGCCCAAAATTGGATCTATATTATTAAACATCACATTATTTTAATGATTAACCATAAAACATCATATATTTACATAATAAAAAATATAAATACTTGAATGTAAAAGAATATAATATATATGTAGATAAATTTACTTTGTAGCCTTTAAAGTTTCCTTTTACAGATTCCGGCGACACAGGTTCCCAACTCAATATGGCACTTTTACTTCCAGTAACATTTATAACAGTTAAATTTTTTGGTATATCAATTGGAACTGTAAAATAACTTGGATAGTTACAATAGGAATAGCATCAATAAACAAATATAAGTAAATTTACCATCTTCACATGAATATCCAATGATTTCTTTTTGAAATCCATTAGATTCGCCTTTTTCATTAAATGCAACTATTTTTACTTTATAACGTTTGTATGTTGGTTGATTTGGGATAACTAATTCATTTATAGTATAATTCATTGTTTCATTTAAATTCCAAGCTTTGTTGGGCATATCTTGTTTCCAATAAATTCTATATCTTAAGCCAGGAGCGTTATGAGCAATTTTAGGCATCGGCTTAATGTTATTAAATTTTTTGTTTAAAATTACATCAAATAACTTAATTTTTTTAAATTAAATAATTACTTACTGTCCAATTAATAACTAGATTAGACGGTTTAGTACCATACACTTCAATATTTTCTGGATTTTTAAAAGGTACATCTGGCTGTGTGGTACAAGCACTTGAATGTAAAGATGGATTCGACTTACCAATTTTGTTCATTGCAATTACTCGGAATGTAAAGTTTGCCCATGGTGTCATTTGTACAATAAACTTGAGATCAGTTGCTGGTATATTATCTGATGCAACTAACCAAGTGCCAGGTTCAAAGCTGGTATTGTACTCAACAGTATAACGTAGTATAGGTGCACGATTATCTCCGTTAGGTTGCCATTGTACAACTGCATTTATTTTATTACAAGTGATTTTCAATAATGTTGGCAGATTTGGTTTGTCCTAATAAATTATGTATGAATATACATTATAATAAGCTAATCCATAATTAATGAATCTTTACTTGAACGATAAGAGTGGCATTAGCTGTTACTTGGTCCAACTCAGTTTTAGCTAAACATGTGTAAGTTCCAGAGTCCAATTCAATAGTCTTAGTTATTATCAAAGAATAGTCATTAGTTTTGACAAAACGAGGTTGGGTGTCATAATCTATGGGTTCACCATTAACTAACCAATCAATGTTAAGATGTAAAGAATGATCTGCAGTTGCTATACAATGAAATGTTGCTACTGATCCGGCAACCACCTCATTGTCTTCAGGTTCAGCGATAATTTTTGTATGTTCTACAAAAAGTTGTGGTTATTTTAACTGTATAGTAGGTAGGTACTAAAATGTATACACTTTAAATTGTGCACCTTTAACAGCAAGTGTTCCAGATGCAATTGCCGTTCCATAGTTATTAGTAGCAATGCAAGTATAAATTCCAGCATCAATAAAACTAATTTTACTGAAAACAAAAAAAATTAAAGATTAAGTATAGGTAGTATAATCTCGAATTGAAATCCTATACATTT